AAGCTTTTGTTTAGTCAATCAAAAATTTTCTTGTAGTTTATTTTACACATTTAATTTATTATTGTAATGTTTGTATTTAAGAATACTAACGTTGGTAATTGAAAAGAGTTACTTTATGGTTAACCAGGTAAGTTTAATGTACAATTGTTTTCTTTATGTAGTATGAATGTTCAAGAGACATCACAATATAGGAAGGGGCACAGTGTTGTACACCTTTTTTATTTAGACAATGGTACTTTTTGACTTTTTGGAGGAAGTTTTAATGTCATGTAATGAGTAGGTAGCTTAACGACAAGAATTTTCTAGAAAACTTAGGAAACAACTTAATGGTATAAAATATGAGCTAAATGAGACCAGCATGACCAGGTAGTTAAGGCGCTCAACTCACAATCTGAGGATCACGAGTTCGAATATGCTCGCCCTTTCAGCTGTGGGTGTGTTATAATGTGATGGTCAATCCCACTATTCGTTTGTAAAAGAATAGCCCAAGAATTCGCAGTGGTGGTGATGACTAGCTGCTTTCCCCAATGGTAAGTCTGTGGACTTATAACGCTAAGAAGCGAGTTTCAATACCTGTGGTGGGCACAGCACAGATAACATTATGTAGTTTATGCTTAACTGCAAACAAACCAGTAGTTTGTTGATTAGAGTTTAGGAGTTGGACTGTCATTTCAAGTTCATAAATATTTAGTTTGTGTTTCGATCAAGATCTAGAGCTAGGATAAGCACCCTAGCTACGAGAAAATTAGCAAGTAAGTTAACGTTATTTGTAAAAACGTATATGTGTAGATTTATAGTCGAACAAATAAAATGCTATCATTATCATTAAGTGGGCTGAAATTTGTTATTGTTTTTGCAGTATAATAAAAACAACAGCCAACAATAGAAACCATTACAATATTATTTTTTGGCATAGGACCAAAAGGTTACTATTCACCAATAATACAGAGGGTTGAGTATGTACATTATATTAAAAGGATTTTGAAATTCAAATAAGCGATTCTTGTCAAAGTCACAATTAATATAAAATTCGCAGTGGAATGGCATGCATCAAAACTACATGTTGACATTGTTTGTCATTTTGTAGGTAAAGTGATGCCACCGGAAAAGAATATTTGAAAATCCCCTAACCCCCATCTTGAATTTTGTGCAGTAATAATCGGCTGGCGTCGTATTTCCACTCAATTGAAAAACAAATATGGTTCCGAGATTTT